AGGCCAAATAAGGAATTCAAACAAAAAAAAAAGTAATTTTCTGCTTTTTTTTTATTCTTGGATCAGGCTTTAAAGGGTTAAGAAGAGTTTTAAAACGAGACAGAGAGGTGAATAAACACAACAAAGGCTGAGGCGGACCTCATAGTTTGCCTAGCAACAGGTGACCGTGCGGGGGGGGCCTTACCTTGGGCCACTTGGGGTTGAAGACCATTAGCCGTCCGTTAGCAGCCTGTTAGCCGGGCGATAGCCGGTCGATAGCAGGCCGTTAGCCGGCTGCTAACCGGCCGTTAGCCGGCTGCTAACCGGCCGTTAGCCGACCTTAGCAGGCCGTTAGCCGGCTGCTAACCGGCCGTTAGCAGGGCGGACCTCAGATCTCGCCCGGCAACAGGTGACCTTCCGGGGGGGGCCTTACCGTGGGCCACTTGGGGTTCATACCCATTAGCCGTCAGTTAGCAGCCTGTTAACCGGGCGTTAGCCGGTCGATAGCAGGCCGTTAGCCGGCTGCTAACCGGCCGTTAGCCGACATTAGCAGGCCATTAGCAGGTTGTTAGCCGGCAGTTAGCAGGCCAATAACAGGGCGGACCTCAGATCTCGCCCGGCAACAGGTGACCCTCCGGTAGCGCCTTACCTTGGGCCACTTGGGGTTGATGATGCGGGCCTGGAGGGCGTCCTCCAGGGCGGGGCCGTATTGGCCCAAACGGATGCGCGCGGCGGAGCGGTTGCTGTACAGGATGGGGTTCTGCGGGTCGGAGGCCAGGGCGTCGCCATAGAGACGCTCGGCCAGCCCGAACTCCCCCTGCTGGCAGGCCTGGTTACTGCGCCGCACGCAGTCCAGGAACTCCGCTTTGCTCAGGGCCGCCGCGGGAGAGGAGGAGGAGGAAGAGGAGGAGGAGGAGGAGGAGGAGGAAGGGGGGTTGGAGGGTTTGCCCGAGGAGCGGGAGCCAAAAAGAGAGAACTGGGGAGAAGATGGTGGAGGGGAAGGACAGGAGGAGGTGGAGACAGAGACAATTAACTCATTGAGTTTTTTGAGCATTTTGACTGTTTTTTCAAGAGCCACAGAATAGTTTGTGCTATGACTATGTAAACACCGAACACACCAAAAGAAAGAGTAGACTCTCTTCTTTCATCAGGAAAAGAAAATTGTTTCTACCTTATTCCATTCTTTAGTAATCAGCAGTAGAACATAGGTTGGTTTCAACAAAAACACCAGTTTTTGACCAATAAATGGAGAAAACAAGCTTTTTGTGGAAAGATACAGTTCAAGCAGAGAAGTGTCTTTGATGCTATTTTTGGGGCTTTAGTGACACCTCAAACACCTTAAAAGTTGTATCCTTCCATAAAACAGCAAAAAAACATCTAGAAATGGTATTAACTCATTGACTGCCAGCCATTTTCAGAACAGAGAGTCCCATACTGCCAGAGTTTTTTTGGAGCATTTTGACTGATTTTTCAAGAGCCACAGAATAGTTTGTGCTATGACTACGTAAACACCGAACACACCAAAAGAAAGAGTAGACTCTCTTCTTTCATCAGGAAAAAACAAGTGTTTCTACCTTATTCCGTTCTTTAGTAATCAGCAGTAGAACATAGGTTGGTTTCAACAAAAACACCAGTTTTTGACCAATAAATGGAGAAAACAAGCTTTTTGTGAAAAGATACAGTTCAAGCAGAGAAGTGTCTTTGATGCTATTTTTTGGGCTTTAGAGACACCTCAAACATCTTAAAAGTTGTATCCTTCTATAAAACGGCAAAAACAACATCTAGGAATGGTATTAACTCATTGACTGCCAGCCATTTTCAGAACAGAAAGTCCCATACTGCCAGTTTTTTTGGAGCATTTTGACTGATTTTTTAAGAGCCACAGAATAGTTTTTGCTATGACTATGTAAACACCGAACACACCTAAAGAAAGAGTAGACTCTCTTCTGTCATCATGAAAAAGAAATTGTTTCTACCTCATTCCGTTCTTTAGTAATCAGCAGTAGAACATAGGTTTGTTTCAACAAAAACACCAGCTTTTGACCAATAAATGGAGAAAACAAGCTTTTTGTGAAAAAATACAGTTCAAGCAGAGAAGTGTCTTTGATGCTATTTTTTGGGCTTTAGTGACACCTCAAACATCTTAAAAGTTGGATCCTTCTATAAAACGGCAAAAACAACATCTCGCTAAATCGCTAAATTCATCTGACCCGGAACTATCTGCAGAGTTGGGCTGTGGTGAAACACGCCATGTTTCTCCATTTTAAATTACAAAATAATTTATTCACAAATACATTTATGTAAATAGTTATGAAACACGCCGTGAGCTATGCCTACTCTCTCCGCCTGGCCCGGGTGGATCTCCTTCATTTCCCACGATCGGGACACCAACCGAACTACTGCGATTGCGACACAAACTCTGTTTGAGTGTGAACTTCCTGGACTTGCGTCTCACCGGCGACATGTTCTCTCATAGCGAACCGTTCCCTTTTTCTTATTTGCCTACAGTCTATGCTCATCTCCCATCAAAAGTGGCACTGCCCCCTAGAGGGTCAATTTGTTACTACATACTCTGTCTAGAAGCCCGATATTTACGGACAAGCTTTAGCAGATCGTCCCCCAGCCACTCGTTGAAAAACATAAAAGACGTCTATAGAAGTCTTTGGCAGCCAATGAGTTAATAAAAGGTTTGAACTGCATGAGTAACCGCCAAAATGACCGATAGCTTAAAACATGACACTAAAATGTATAAACATTATTTATAAGACTATGATTACAAGCTCTGCAGCAGTCTCCTCACAAACGAATGAAGTTGTCCGGTGGTAATCAACTGTCGAAAAAAGCATGTTTATTGATTGATCCCTTTGAACTTCTTCGGCTAACTAGTGAACCAAATCAAACTCTGGTGAAGGGGGGGTAACTCCTCTTCCTCAATACGATGGAGGAAAGGAAAGAAGAAAACAGGTTAAAATACTGAAGTCTGTTTTCGACTTTTATTTAAATCTCTGTTTGATCAAATGTAGTCAGATTGTTCACCACAAATAAAACTGTAAATAAAGGGGAGATGTTTTATATAAAAGGTTATTAAGGAATCAGAAACCCATCAGCTACATCTCAGGGTCTCCAGGCCTCAGTTAGCGGCCTAAAGGTCAAAGGTCAAAACAGGTTTGAAGTCCAGAAACCAGCCTGATGGAATCCGTGGTCCATCAGAGTCCAGAAACCGCAATAAACCACCAATAAAGAGTTATTAAGGTCTTCCATAAATCAGAAACCCAGCAGCTACATCTCAGACTCTCCAGGCCTCAGTTAGCGACTTAAAGGTCAAAGGTCAAAACAAGTTTGGAGTCCAGAAACCAGCCTGATGGACAGTGTAGCTCTTTGGATCCCTGTGAAGGGGGTGGGGGGGTCTTGGGGAGCTAAAATTCACTTGAGCCTAATTTTCCAATATCTTAAGACCTAAATCTGTTCACATGAAAACTAAGAACTAGCTTAAATCCCCAAACAAAAACAGCCTTTGTCCGACACATTATCTGCTTTCGGCAGCATTCGAGGGTTTATTTCTGCTTTTCCACTCGGTGGTGAGCGTCTGCATATCTCCGACAGATATTGATAGAAAGCCGGAGAGTCAGACAGAGTTACTCAGTCAGACGGGGGCTCGGTTCCTGTCGCTAACAGCCGCTAAAGTTGGTGTAAAAGTGCAGCCTGAGGTTCTCCAGCATGGAGGCACCGCCTCTCCCTCTGATCTGGTGTTTCCAAATTTGTCCTCTCACCAGAGCTTACACCAAGGCCTTCATTATCTCTCTCTATTCCAGGCCCCTCAAACACACACACACACACACACACACACACACACACGAACACACATTTAACTTAAAATATGCAGACTGAAGGGATTCCTGAAACTTCCAAATGCATCACCCAGCATTTTGTGACTGGGAGGGAAGTGAGAGACGAAGAGAAAGAATCACTCAGAGTCCCAGACCATGACTGATAGTCCCCAATCTTTGACTTGAGGCATACAGAATAAATAGATAACACTAAAATAAATATAAATAAGTAAAAACACTGCCCGCACAGGATAAAAATATGCATGTATATACATAAAATCTACGCTCTACATGGTGTCAAAAGCCAAAGAAAAGAGGTGGGTTTTAACCCTATAATGCCAAATGTATCATATTTGATACATACGGTTTCTGAAATGTTTTGTTTCTGACACCTTTTGCATAATTTAATGGTAAAAACTTTGCTCAAAATCCTATTGTACACAATCAGATACACCTGATAACAGGGGGCAGAAGATTACACAAAAGATAATCTTGACTAATATTAGTATTAAAAATGTATTTCTGTTGTTAAAAGGCCAAATAAGGAATTGAAACAAAAAAAAAGTAATTTTCTGTTTTATTTTGTTCTTGGATCAGGCTTTAAAGGGTTAAAGAGCCCATCCATTCGGTATTTTCAGGCGATTTCTGGAGTTTTTATTGGCTGATTTTCTCTTGTTCTCAGTCAGATTCTTTTGTATTTTTATTTAGTTAAGCCATTTCACTCCAGTCTACGAGTCAGTCCGTTAGAAAGGGGCTAACTCAAGGGATGAGCCGGTGTCGTGTCTACACAGAACAACACTGGCTAACATGCTTTAGTTGATGTTGTAAGAAGGCCAAAGATGGCAGAGTTTGACAGACAGATAATAGGATTTTTAAGGGCAGATTCCCTGATCCGTCTCCTGGTGGCCTCATCAGAAATGAAAACCAGAAGTGGACTGTGTGGGATCATCTGACAGAGAATGGAGAGCTTTGGGACGTCCTTCAATCCTTCAAGAAGCTGGAGAACTTCTCCTGGAGGCTCCTTAACTTTCTTTAACTCATTGGCTGCCAAAGACGTTTATAGACGTCTTTTATGTTTTTCAACGAGAGTGGCTGGGGGACGATCTGCTAAAGCTTGTCCGTAAATATCAGGCTTCTAGACAGAGTATGTAGTAACAAATTGACCCTCTAGGGGGCAGTGCCACTTTTGATGGGAGATGAGCATAGACTGTAGGCAGATAAGAAAAAGGTAACGGTTCGCTATGAGAGAACATGTCGCCGGTGAGACGCAAGTCCAGAAAGAACGGAATAAGGTAGAAACACATTTTTTTCCTGATGAAGGAAGAGAGTCTACTCTTTCTTTTGGTGTGTTCGGTGTTTACATAGTCATAGCACAAACTATTCTGTGGCTCTTGAAAAATCAGTCAAAATGCTCAAAAAACCCTGGCAGTATGGGACTCTGTTCTGAAAATGGCTGGCAGTCAATGAGTTAATGAAGGATCTTCTCCTGGAGGTTCCTTAACTCCTTATGGAAGGACACAGTTGCTGGCAGAGGGCTCAGAGATGGAGGAGGAAGGACAGATCCTTGGATTTACTCCCTGCTTGCCTGAATAAATAGAAATTAAGCCACTTCTGTAGAGACCTACAGTAACACGTCAGATGTCAGAGCACGGTAATGCAGAGAAAATGAAGCAGAAGGAGGAGATCCGTCTCCATTAGCTTAAATTGTAAGCTGGTTGTGAACACTGTCCTTTTGGCCACTCTTAAACTTTGTGCAGGTTATCTGGAGGAACAAACCTGGAGTTGGACAGACTAAGTGAGCCATTTTATATTTTTCTAATGTCCTAATCAGACCCAATTTGCCAACCTCAAAGATGTGAAGGCATAATGGTCCTTTTTGAGTCAACAAGTGATTGAGATTCATTCCCGGAAGCTACTTACACAAAATCTTAATTTTCTATGAGCTCCTCTAATTGACTAGACACTATTATCTCCCCTAATTCACACATTTTGTGGGCATCTCCATGCAAAAACAGACACACAAAAGGAAACGTGCCGGTAAATTAACTTGCTAAAGAACCTCAGAGGCATTGAAACACAACGAAGTCCCAACTTTTTCCAGCAAAAATGCTAATTAGCATCCTCATGGAAACACAACCGCAGATGTCTT